CAGCCATGTTCATGCAAATGCCGCGGGGGATATTTAAATCCCCTGCGGCATTTGCAATTCCGACTGGTCTCATTAGCATCCCTTTTCAGGAAAGGGGTGCCAATGTAGACACAGCCGCTGGGTATCTCTCCCTGTCTTTACACACCTTTCTCTGTAAGTTTGCATCTTTTGCTTTTGACATGCATAATGCACATTTACATGAATCAAACATCAATATAAATACGTATTTAAATGTTTTGATCCAGCTTTTAAAAAATGACTGACCCTTTGATTGTTTGCAAATTAAAGACTAGAGCAGTTGTGTACGAGAATGTGAAAGAGAAATTTACTAGAAACTAAGGTGAAATTTACTGGTCTCTTTTTATTTCCCAGATTGAAATATAGAAAGTGGACAAACAAAAACTGGGAGGAAATCAGATTTTAAAAAAAACTTCTCTCCACTTTTAATTATGTGCCATACTATTATTAACACAGGTAAGGAAATGAGTTTCTGAAGCATGTGATTTTTAACTGGATGGTATCAGTTTAGTGGAATAAGAAAGGAAGACAAGAAAGGGAGGGCTGGGAGGAAGGTCAAGCCAGTTTGAGAGCCTGAGGAGCTTAAAGAGTTAAGGTTGCAGTCATCCTTTACTAAAGTGATTTATGATGATGATGTGAAACGTTTCAACCCCCTAAGAAATTTCCTCCACCCTCCCTCAGTGAGTTGAAGTGGGAAAGAGGCAGTGTTCTGCTGATCTTTTAAATTCTTAGTGAAGTTTCCCTGATTTCCAGTGGCTGCTGCTGTTTGAGTTTGGTTTAGAACAGTGCTGAGGTTATCCTGACATTTCTGGGATCACATCCAGCGAAAAGGAAGAAGAAGAAAAAGAAAAGATTGGGGTGAAAAGTGGGGAGAGGAACAGAAGGCTCCAGGAGGCTTCTTTTCTCAACATTGCATTCCTGTGTTTTGCCTCAGCCTGGAAAATATATTAATCCCAGGGCTTTTTCTCTTTGGAAACAAAGGAGCTAAACTAGAGAGTGGGGAGGAAAGGCGTGATTAGAAGGAGCATGGAGCTTTGAAAGAGATTCAGAAACAACTGTGAGTTCATTTTTATTAGATGAAATGTGCCTCTCTGTGTCTGTGACTGATAGAGAAACAAAACAGACCTGCAGGTAAATGGAGCAGCAAAGATCACAGGGAAATTTACTTTTGCCTCATCCCACTTTGTCACAAAGGTGAAGAAAGACAAAAAAGTAAAAGCTCCACAGTGAATCAACATTGTCCGGAGTCTGTTTTGTTACATAAAAGTCAGTGAGCTGCAGCAAAACTCCATGCATGGCATTGCTCTTCCTCTAAAGAAAGGGCTGGATACACATATCTTGACGGGAAACTTTCCTGAGAGGGTAAGTTTTAAGTTAAAAACAAACTCTTGACTTACCATCTCTGTGAATCACTCTGTGTGTGTGTGTGCTGCGAACATAACTACTGTATTTTTTTTACGTATTTGAACAACTAGATAGATTCATGTTATAGATGATCTCATCTTTTGCCTAAATTAATCTACTGCATGTTTTTCTAGACATAGCCTCTAAAGTTTTTATAGAAATATCATTACAGGACTTCTTTATATAGCTAGCCAGTCTATTTGTTGTTCTCTGGTCACTTGCAAGGGTGTGTCTACACAGCATTATTATTTCAGAATAACGGCCGTTATTCTGAAATAATAATGCGAATGTCTACACAGCAATTTTGTTATTTTGAAATAAATTTGAAATAACAGATTGCTTATTCTGACTTCTGTAAACCTCATTCCATGAGGAATAATGCCTATTCCAAAAGAGCTATTTCAGAATAGCTGTAGTGTATACGCTTCTCTGCTGCTATTTCAAAATAGCTCCTCTCCAGTGCCTCCTGGGGCTCTAAATCCTCATTAGGGAAGCCTGCCTCAGACTAATTTAGAGGCTTCCTTGTAATGTAAACTTTTTATTCAGAAATAAGCTATTTCAGGGTATTGCTTCTGGAATAGCTTATTTCGAAATAAGTGTGCAGTGTAGATGTACCCTCAAGTGCACAATCTAGCTCTCTATATCTATATCTAAAAGACTACTCTTAACATTTAACTTTTTCTCCTCATTTCTTTTGAAGTGGATCGCACAATGAACTGGACACCAATTCTGAGTTTAGCCATGCTGTGGGCAACGTGGCTAGCGTGCGACTCTGAGAAGACCGTGAGGCTAGCAGACAGAGGGAGCCACGGAATTAGTAACGTGCCTTTCTCTCACAGGGCTAGCAACAGATCGCTCTCCTTCCTGAGAAGGTCGGAGGCATCTCAGGGGAATTTCCAACGTCCTGTTGCCAAGAGGGATACTCCAACATCAAAAAATGTACGGCCTGACCTGCTGCGAGATGAAACACCTGCCCAGGCTAGGAAGATTAAAGCTAGAGTGAGGCAGATACAGAGACCCACCTCTGCGGCTAAACAGTCTCACCCTGAGATGATCAAGGATGAGGAGAAGTCTGCTGCGTCTCGGTCACGAATGATACGTTTCCCTTCAGGATCCAGTTCTCCTAATGTCCTGGCTAGCTTTGCCGGTAAGAACAGAGTCTGGGTTATCTCTGCTCCTCATGCCTCTGAAGGCTACTACCGGCTCATGATGAGCCTGCTTAAGAGCGACGTCTACTGTGAACTGGCCGAGAGGCACATCCAGCAGATGGTGTTGTTCCATGAGGAAGGGGAAGAAGGAGGGAAAGTCAGGAGGATAACCAGTGAAGGGAAAATCCTGGAGCAACCTTTAGATCCCAGCCTCATCCCTAAACTCATGAGCTTTCTGAAACTGGAGAAAGGGAAATTTGGCATGGTGCTGCTAAAAAAAACCCTACAGGTGGAGGAAAGGTACCCTTACCCGGTAAGGCTAGAAGCCATGTACGAAGTTATTGACCAGAGCCCCATCAGGAAAATGGAGAAGATGAGGCAGAAGGGCTTCATCCAGAAATGTAAAGCTGCCGGGGTGGAGGGTCAAGTAGTGGAGGAAGTTAACAATGGAGGCGGCACCAGACCTACATCGAGTGGTGGACATGTTCAGCTGTCAGTAAAAAAGGAAGAGCCAAGGAGAAGCAATGTTCAACCAACAAGGAGCAAAACAGTGAGGAAACTAATCACAACCACAGTGGCTCCTCCTCCCCCTACAACGCGTGCCAGCACCCTCCCTCCTCCAACCACCACTACCCAGGCAGCCACCCGTACAGTGACAACGCTGAACAGACCTATGACCACAGCCACATCCCTTCCAACCACTCTGAAAACTTGGACCACAAAGTCACACACCACGTCCGACTCTCATAGGCTGCCCACAGTGCCTGAGGCAACTGCCCCACGGGGCACAGACACTGAGGATTTTTACTCCCCGGTGTGGAATGAGAACCGCAGAGACAGGCAGTCTGGCCACCCGGAGAGACACCCAGTAGCCACCCGAAGACCTGGCAAAGTTGCTAGCTATGATAGCTACACAGAAGCTCCCACCTCTGCCTCCGAGCACTACACAAGGGCCAACACTGGTAGATTTAAAGACAACCGTACAGACCGGAAGGACTTTATCCACCGGGATCCCAGTGTCATGCCAGGTCAGCACAAACCCGCCAAAGCCAAGCCACCTAAAAAAAGAGTCCAGGAAAAGATTCTGAGCAATGAATATGAGGACAAATATGAACCAAGCAGGCCTGCTGTTCCCCACTTGGAGCAAGAGATTGCAGCAGGGAATATCCCACCAAAGAAGGGAAAAGAGCCAAAAAAGCATGACCGGCCAGATAAACCTGAGAAGAAGAAGAAGAAGGAGAGACCCGACAAGCTGCAGAAGAGTGAGAAGCAGGCCAAGAAGAACAAAGCTGAGAAAAAGAACAAGCAGGACAAAGATCGCAGCAAGAAAAACAAAAAGGGGAGCAGGACTGAGAACGAGGGCTACCTGAAGCCCAACACAAAGACTTTCATTCAGCCCTCCAGGAAATCAGTGACAAGCCTCCTGGATTTTTTTGAAGGCAAACGGCGACTCATTGTAAGTAGCATGTCCCTGAGCATTTTATCACCTCACCCATTAAACTTAGTCTCCCTCCTTCTAAGATCGAGACCTGCAGGGGGGAAGCTGGCATCACTGTCCTCCATGCGCTGCCTGTTCTGAACCTTGCATTGACAGGACTCTCTCTAGGGCAATGATGGGCAATCTATGCTAGAGAAGGGGGCAAACGAGTGGCCCTCCATCTCAGTTGGCTGCAAGATTGTTGTAACCAACTTGATCTCCCAGGAAAGAGTAGTTTTGCTAACTGTGCTTGCACACCTAGCATTTGTGGAATGCACTGATTGAACATAGCAGCGCTTTGATAGGATGCACACCGCTCTTACAGTCAATGTTGTGTGCAATAAGCATGCACCTCACTTCACTTCACATGTGTGTCGCTGTAATAATACCGGTAGGAAAAAAAACCTACGTGGACAGACGCCTGCAGAATCTGGCAACCTTGCACGGGGGGGCAACAGTAAACAAAATGTCTGGCAGGCCACATATAGAACCCCAATGGGCACAGATTGCCCACCACTGCTCTAGGGGCAAAAGTGGAGTTTGTCATCCTTGGCCCTTTCAGTCCTTCACCTTCTGCTACAATAACCAAAAAAGGGCCCCAATCACGCTGGCATCTCTGAGTGTATTGTGGACAGTTGTCTGTAGACTGGCACCCTCCCATTCGTTTGGCATAAGGCCACAAGAAAAGCAATTATTGTTTTGTCCACTGGGGGTTCTGGAGGGGAAGGGCTCTGTATCTGGGGTGATTAATGAAACGAAGCAGCAAGGTTCTAATTAGGATGCTTGCTGGCATTGCCACCAGCCTCTACATTCTATTTCCCAGCATGCTCAGCCAGCTGACATCTGTTCCATAGTAATGCCAGTGTCCAAACTGTGGAAACAGCCTCAAGGGTTGGGCACTGCTTATGGGCATATATATACACACACCTGCCTGCACATATACATGCTGAAGGTCTGGTTTTCAAAGCTGCCATTAAGTCCTGATGGGAATTGGGCATTTAGGTTTCTTTGACAAGCCCACCTTATGCTGGTTTAATTACAACAGCCTCCTCTGGTGAGGTTCCCAAGCTTAGAAGCTGAGCAGAGCCTGCAGCTACTGCTCCTAATAATGTGTGTTTTTCCAAGTGCTTATCTAACAGCATTTCACCTGAGACAAGGAACAGTTTTAGCCTCACTTCAAATGTTTTCTTTGGTCAGACGCATTCACTTTAAAGGTTCACTTTGAAAAGCAGATCTTTGAAAAACAGCATTTCAGTCTCACAGGTTAGTTTAGTGTAGGCAAGAACTTTCCAGTAGCTAGTGTCACCAATAGCACCATGGTTCCCAAAATCCAGCTAGGCTTTTCCTGCCCTTCACAGCATCCCCTACAATAAAGATTCTTCTATCTACCATGGGAGTTCAGTTGACAATTCAGCATAGCATCCAACTCTCTCCTACATGTATTACCACTGCATGGCTAACAGGAATAATTATATGAGTGAGTGAGTGAGTGAGTGAGTGAGTGAGTGAGTGAGCGAGAGCGAGAGCGAGAGCGAGAGCGAGAGCGAGAGAAAGAAAGAAATCACAGATTTAAACCGTACTAAATTTTGGAAGCAGAAAGGAAGCCATGTGTTTGAAAAAAAAACAGAACCTGGGGAATCTGAATTTAGCAAATGACTCTGGTCTTAACAATTGGCCAAAGCAAGACCACAGAATGGAGCTGACTGGAAGTTTAGGATAGTTGAAACCTGGCTCTAGTTCTGAACATTGTGACTTCCAAAAATTAGTGTCACGTCAGGCCAAAAAAAGCAAAAAGTGACGAGAACAGAATAGAAATCACAGAAACCAGACAGCCACTGCTTTCCTCCCTGAAGGATCATGGTGACTCATCACTCAGTCTGGAATTTGCATCTCCACATATCAGAAACTTTTAAGCTGGAGAAATGATTTGTCCAGTCTGTGGTAGTTGGTGAGAACAGACTGTAGGCAAACATTACTACTAAGCTTCATTATAGTTTGTCATAGTCTAGTACTACCAATAGTCTCCTCCTCCTGAAAGCTAGGTTCATTATGCAATAGTTATTCATATGGACAGTACTGGAGATAAATCAAAGGCAGAGCCATGTGCTGTATGTAGCATGTGCACAAGGTAGATTAAAAGTTAGTGAAATCTGAATCCACAGTCATTTCACCCCCTTAAAATAAAAACCTCCTTTCTTTGCACCCCTTTCCCCAAATGGACTCTTCTGTCCAGTTCAGTTGTCCCTTCCTCTTGGGTTCAATTCTTCCAGTGTATTGCCCCAGTTGGATAGTTCTCTTCCACTCCTAAGTCCTTAGTCATCCTCCCAAATTAACTAACCCAGGCCTCTCTAGTATCTGCTCTGTCTGTGCTGTTTCCCACTGCTCCACTACACTGTTCCTTTTGGACCACTCCCCCAACTCCTAATGTGAATTTAGAAAAAGAAAAATCACTGTTTGTGATGGTTCAACCAGGCAGTTCACAGAGGTGGGTTAAGTACTACAAATGGTTAAACAGAGAGATAGGCCCAAAATTCAGATTCTGATCTGAATTTCAAACTGCCAGAAGTGTGTAGCAAAGGCTTTGATTAAGTTCTTTATAGATATAGGGCATTGCTGTGAAATCTCTGTCTACTTTTAGTGTTGATTTTGAAACACAACCCTGATTCAGATCTGTGGTCAGAAAGTTTTGCTTCAGGTAGTTTATTTTTTGTGTCGGGGGTAGCTGTGTTAGTCTGTAACTTTAAAAAGAAGTAGTCCTGTGGTTATTTCCACTCCAGCTCATCTGATGAAGTAGGTTATACCCACAAAAGCTCATGATACTATACATTTTTGTTAGTCTGTAAGGTGCCATAGGATGACTTGTTATTTTGTGTGTGTTATTCTGTGGTGATGAAGTGGAGACTGAGGGTTTGTAAGTAGCATTTCATTCACACACACACACACTCTGGGTATGTCTACACTACCCTCCTAGTTCGAACTAGGAGGATAATGTAGGCATACCGCACTTGCAAATGAAGCCCAGGATTTGAATTTCCCGGGCTTCATTTGCATAAGCGGGGAGCCGCCATTTTTAAAACCCCGCTGGTTCGAACCCCGTGCAGCGCGGCTACACGGGGCACAAACTAGGTAGTTCGAACTAGCCTTCCTAGTTCGACCTACCGTTACTCCTTGTGAAATGAGGAGTAACGGTAGGTCGAACTAGGAAGCCTAGTTCGAACTACCTAGTTCGTGCCCCGTGTAGCTGCGCTGCACGGGGTTCGAACCAGCAGGGTTTTAAAAATGGCGGCTCCCCGCTTATGCAAATGAAGCCCGGGAAATTCAAATCCCGGGCTTCATTTGCAAGTGCGGTATGCCTACATTACCCCGCTAGTTCGAACTAGCGGGGTAGTGTAGACATACCCTCAGAGGACATAGGCGAATAGCAGTTAGAGCAACTTAAAATTAAACCAATAAATAAATCCCTGTTTGTTTTGCAACATATACTAGGCTATTTTAAAGCTATGATTTGAGGTTTGCTTTGCTTCTGAAATGCTCCTCACTTTATCCTACAAGATTTACCAGACTGAGACAAATTCGTTGCTCATTGTACCCATACAATTCCACTAGACCAAACTCCACATTCATAATAGGGATGTAAGCATCTAGTCACGTAGTCAACTACCCGATAAGCCTAAGTTTATCAAGTAGTGGAGTCACTACTCGACTACTCACTTCCTCCCCCTCACCACTTCCTGCCTCTGTATCAGAGGCAGCAATGGGGAGGGGAAGCAGGAGCTGGTGCTGGGGGGAGCCAGCTTAAAAGCTAGTTCCCCCCAGAACCATCTCCACAGTGCAGGAGTGTAGGTGCAGGATTGGCAGAGGCGCAGCAGTCCAGAACCTGGCGGGAGACGGGACTGTTAAATCCCAGCTCGCACTGGGTCTGGGACCTACCCCCGCTGTGGCTCTGTACTTTAAATTTAGTAGGAGCCGGGCTGCCTGTGCACCTGGCTCCTACTACATTTAAACTGCAGAGCCACAGTGGGACCCCTTATCGACTAATTGTGCTGTTGATACAAATTGTATCGACTACATGATTACTCAGTTACCTGCTTCTTAACATCCTTACATTCATACCCACACACTGGTTAAGAAACTAGGAGCAGAACCCAGCTCATTTTCTGGTATTTATCTGAGTTCTCAAGCAGTGTTTAAAATACCTTTTTCTTTTTAAACATTTCACTGTAACTTTAAAGTACAGTAATATGATTCATGTTATAGATGTGAAATCAAGTTGTCTTCTATACATATAATCTCTATGGGCCTGATTCTCATTTACACTAATGTGCTTTTTCCATCACCAGGGTGATGTAATGGGGCCTCTGTATAAATGAGACTCAGGCTTTATATAACCTATCACTTAGACTTATAATTGAATGTAGTTATAAACTCTATTTATAAGGTATGTTTCATAAAAAGTATCCCAGAAAGCCTTACAAAAGGGTAAGAAAACACTAGCAGAATGATTATGCATGATGTAAGTTAAATCATAACTTTGCCTTTAAAGGACTATTATATCTTATGACAAGCCTAAAACACAAAATTTGGCTTCCCCAATGGGTAGGGTTGCCAGATAGTTTCACCAAAAATACCCAGCATGGTGGGGAAAAAATTGGTTGAGCAAAAAACAAACAAACAAAAAATGGGGGACCAAAGTTTTTGAGCAAAAAAAAAAGTCACTGCGCCTTTAAATCCTAAATCCCCACACTCCCCTCACCCCCATCCCCACCAGACGTGGCAGGGGAAGAATGTCTCGAGCGGCCGTCCATCCAAGAAAAACAGACAATACTGGATGTTTTACATGTCTGGTATTTTCTGGTTTTTTTACCGGACACCTGGCAACCCAGCAAAGTTGGGATCTAGGAATTTTGGACAGAGCCTTGCTCTAGTCAGAACCCTTCTGTTTCAAGTGGATGCAGGATTCTCCTTGACTTCCTCTCCTAAATTGTTATGTGGTATTGCAGTGTGTAGTTAAACAGATGTTATATCATTCCCCCCTCCCCTCCCACACACACACACACTCAGAAGGGGCTGTATGTCTTTGGAAAACACATGTTGGTGTAAACTTAAAAGACTTTTTTTATTACTGCTGTAATCATTTCTTCCTGCCACACCACTTTCCGATCCTTCTTCTCCCTCAACACATTAAATAAGGCCTACAAGTGAGGCTTTCCAAATGTTTTTGGCTAAATGTGGGGTAGATGGTGCCCAGATCTAATATAACTATGCAGCTGACTATAACCATCACAAATACCTGGATCATGGGACTAGGGGAGAAAGAAGGGGCTATGGCTGAAAATGACTCTAAAAACGTATTTAGGCCTGTTACTCCCACTGAAATTTAGGCCCATTACTCCCACTGAAACCTCGGTAACTTGATGATCTGGGGCTATGTAGCCATTTCCCCCACCTCTCTGCAAACAAGTGGATGTGAGGGTGGCATGGCCATGACAGGTTGGGCTGGAGAACTGACGGGACTCAGAAGGGTGAAGATCTAAGAAGGGAGTATGTTGTTTCCAGTACAGTTTACAGCAACTTACGCCTCTCCTCCCAGCACAACAGGGGAGCACCAGAGTGACTGCGTGTTGGAGGGATGTCTCTGAATCCCATGCCTCCTGCGGTTATTCCTCTAGCTTTTTGCTCAGGTCTGGGCCTAAAGACACTTTCTAGTTCTACATAAATAAATGTAAGTTCCTGTGCCACTGGCTAAGGTGTGCAAAAGAAACCCCAGTGGGCAAACGGCATTAAAAAACGCTGTTCTTCTTTAGAGAGCTGCTTCTCTGACAGAGGCTTGCAGTGGCTTTGTTTTGAAACTAATCAAACTTTTTGTTTCTTCCATTCCCTAGCTGATCACGACGCCCAAGGCTGATAACACCATGTATGTGCAACAGCGAGATGAATACCTGGAGAGTTTCTGCAAGATGGCCACAAGGAAAGTCTCAGTCATCACAATTTTTGGCACCGTGAACAACAGCAGCATGAAGATTGACCACTTTCAGCTAGGTTCGTTGGGGTTTTTTTTTACATATTTATTTCTCGCCTCTCTCTTTTTTTAAGGAGGACCAAACATTAGAGAAGGAAGAGAGAAATCCAACTGGGTTAAAGTCTTAGAGAGAGATCCTTTGTTGTGGTAACTTCCTGCACTTTGTATTTACATAGCTGTGTCTGGCATTTACTGTGTTTAGTTTCCAAAGCAGTAAGGTGAAATGTATGGTAGTTTTTAATGCCAGTGAAAGAATAGAAAGCAGGAGATGGGAGTGGGGGAGGGAGAACAGCAGGAAGGTCATTTTGTTCAGGTCTGTCAACATGTCATGTATCCATCTCTTTGGGAAACTGAGGGTACTTCTATAGAGCAGCATTATTTCGGAATAACTGACGTTATTTTTAAAGAACATAGTGCTTGTCAACACAGCAAGCCATTATTTCAAAATAATGTTGAGATGGAGGACTTCTTACACTGACTTCTGTAACACTCGTTTCATGAAGAATAAGGGAAGCGGGAGGAAGAGTATTCTTCCTTTGACTTCCTGCTGTGTAGACAGCGCCAAGAGCCGAATTAAGCTATTTCAACTTAAACTACGCAATTGACATGGCTGAAGTTGTGTATCTTAACTCGACTTCTGCCCTGCAGTGTAGACATGCCCAGAATGGTTAAATTTCTGTGATATCACCGGATTCACTTTACAGACTATACTGCATAGTAGGATTTAAGAACTGCCACAATAATTGTTCAGTGTAACATACATGAATCAATTCACAAGGAAGAGGGAAATAAGTTTTAATTAAATAAAAAGCTACTCAAAACTCAGACCAATCCAACACCCACTCTGAATTTCCACATAGTTCCCTTCCTGTTGCTGATTTTTCTCCTCCCTTTGCACTTCTTTGTTTGGTAGATTGGAGCAGATTTGGAAGCACTCTTCCAAAAAACCATATGAAAGGCTTTCCTCAAACATAGGGGCTAACCAGGACAGACAAGAAATCTTACTAGACAGTTATTGTGTCAAGAGTTTCCTCCATTCTCTGAGGACACGTCTACACTAGGAAACTGTTTTGAAATAACTAAATTTGACTTAACTCCTGATTTTACAAAATCGAAATAGCGTGTCCCCACTACCAGGACGCCTCGAAATTAGTCTGAAGGCAACTTCTGTTAATGTGGACTCACCACCTCAACTTAGAGCCCCAGGAAGCTCTGGGGAGTAGTTATTTCAAAATAGCAGCACTGGAGTGTCCACACTAACACTAGTTTGAAATAACTATTTTTAAATTAATGTTATTTCCTGAGAAAAGCAGGAGTACAAATTTTGAAATAAGCATCCCCTTATTTTAAAATAATGGGCTTGGTAGTGTGGACGCTTCACTTATAAATTTGACCCATGGTGGGATCATTTAGAAATAAAGCCCTAGTGTAGATCTGGGCTGGGTGAACATGTGTGTTCTTGGGCATGGTCATGTTTTGCTTAATAATGGACTCCAACCATCATTTGGGGAAGGAAGTTTGAATCTGGTACTGAGTGCAGCTTTAGCTTACTTCTTATGTGGATATTTTTTGGATATTTGAAGCCTTTTCATTCTGTTAGATCAGGGGTGTCCAAACTTTTTTCAAAGAGGGCCAGATTTGATGAAGTGAACATGCGTGAGGGCCGACCATTTTGACTCACATTCTTTGAACCATTAAAATTAAATGCAAATTAACTATCTTATGCAAAGTTTATTGCAAACGGCATACTTTTCATTTCGTCACATGGATGACAAATCTAAACAGGTGTTAAATCACTCTGCCTTTCCTATCTGAAGGCCAGATGAAAAAAAAATCCAGGAAGCTGACACACATGTCAGGAACATTGTAAAGTACATTACATATTATTGGTAATAAAGGTTGTCTGTCAACTTTTAAGTTCAAAAGATATGAACAGGAACATAACACCAAGTATACATGTTGTGTCCAAATATATTTATAACTGATTTAGACCAACGGACATTAACTGAGATTTTACAATGTATTCATCTCAATACATATGGATTCGTTGGGGGCCATAAAAGATAGATATTGCCAAATTACCTGTGGGGCCGTATTAAACCGGACCACGGGCCGCAATTGGCCCGCGGGCCGGACTTTGGACATGCCTGTGTTAGATGGACTGAAGCAAAAGCCTTCTCTTTACCCTTAAAGCAACATACAACCAGTCTGGCTGCTTTCTGTGGGCTAGTGTAAATTTTTTCAGCTCATGGCGCTTTGCACCATGCATGAGTGAACCTAGGGTTCTTCTAGAGACCTTGTTCAGCCCATACGTATTCCACTAAGCAGCTAAACCAGCTACCCACACCCTGTGCTGCCTTCTTTAAGAGGGGCATCTTCAAAACTCCAAATGAGAGTTGGGTATCCAATTCCCTTAGGCAGCTTTGAAAAAAATCGAAGTGTACAAGTTCAGGTCTGATGCACAGCCTACTGAACTCAATAGGAGTCTTTCTGCTGACTTCAGTGGGTTTTGGCCAGGTCCTTAGATCCCAACTTAGCAACGTGCTTTAGCTTGTATGTAACTTTACATAGGTGAATAGTCTCATTGACTTCCAGTATGACACTTCCAGGAGTGTAGTCCTGAACTGGTACTACCAGAACGCCCCTGCAAGTATGGAAACACCTCTACTAGCCTGGCCTCAGACCCATGGGGCATATAAGGTCATGCTGTGCAGAGTATGCTGTTTTGCTCTACAAAAATGGTATCCTGTGTAGACCATGACTTTGGACGCACAGTGCGTTCAAGGTCATGCTGTGTGGAGGATGCCACTTTGAAAAAAACCTGCATCCTCTATGTGGCAATAGTGCTTTGTGATCCTCAGATGGCAGGTGCTATAGAAGAGCATAGCATAGTTAATTTTGTACTCTTTCACAGTTTACTGTGGCCCATGTTTCCTTTCATGTCATTTTCATTTATCTATTTCTAGATGCTAATTAGATTAAATCTTGAAGCACCAAAATCAATCTTATTATTTGTATTCCCCCATGCATTCTTAGGGAACTGTAATAAAAGGAAGTAGGGTACAGTATGATCTTTCTCTCTTCTGCATGTACCTTTTAATATCTCTTTTTGATTTTACCAACACTTTGGATTTTCTTTTGGGGGGTCTGTTGTGGTAATAACTATATCAAAGATGACAGCTGAGCCAGAGTTAATCTCGTTTCACAGATGCTCCAAGTGTGATTGTGTTTTCCTTTATTGAAACAAACAAAAAC